AAAAGAAAGAAGGAAATGGAATTAATATGAGAAAATGGAAACAAAGACTTTGTAACTAGGGAGGGGTGGAGTGGTAGAAGGGAGGGCAGGGGAAGGGGGAAAAAATAAGAACCAAGAGAGATTATGTAAAGGTGCAAATTCCCAATGATGAATGTGATTATATTGTATACCTAAAATGTACTGATAAAATAAAAATTTTTTTTAAATATCAAGAAAAAAAAATTTGGAAACCTGTCTTAAGGAAAGCTTAGCATTTAAGACTTCCTCTGTATGCATTATGTAGATGATCTCAAAAATAATTAGCTAGAATCTTATGGATTTCAGATGCTATAGTTAGGAGTTCCACATTGGTGAAAATACCATTGAAAATGCACCTTCAAATGCCCATCAACCCACAAAGAAAACGTAGCGTATGTATTTAATGAAATATTGCCTAGCTATAGAAGGGAGTACAGTATTAACACATGCTATACTATTAATGAACTAAATGAAAGAAGTCAGCCACAAAAAACTGTTCCACATACATATTTTATGACGTTTATTTGAAATGTCCAGTACAGGCAAATCCACAGTGATAAGAGAGTGGATTCCTAGTTGCAGGGGCTCAGGGAGGGGTAAGTGAGGGATGATAGCTAATAGGAATGGTTCCCTGATAGAATGAAGAAAATGTTCTAAAATTAATTGTGCTGATAGCTGTGTGACTCAATTAATATACTAAAGGCCTTTGATCTTCATATTTTAAATAAGCAAATTGTATTTTACATGAATTATATCTCAATAAATCTGTTCATTAAAAAAAATCTCTGGTACCTTGCCTTGTAGATACTGAATTCTATGAAAAACATTTGGAGATGGTGCCTTTGTTATCAGATCAAAAGCACCCATGCTCGGGGGCAGCAGCGGAGTTTTCACTGTGTTGGCATTCCTGTGGTACCTGTGGCTTCATTACAGAAAGACTTTAGAGGCTCAAGAGACAAACGATATCCAAACTCAGAATACTAGGGTCTGTTTTCATAAATTATGCTATCGTACTACAATGGCAATACAGTCCTCCCACTTCATGGAAAATGCTTAGGGAGTCAATGTCCTGGCATCGACTCAAAAGGCTTCCCTTGGTTTGTACGGTGGACCCTGCTGGGTACTCACCACCCTCTTCCCTCTTCCTGCCCCAGATCTGCTCATCAATCACAGAATGCCCACTTGGGCCTGCTCTGGAGGCCAGGCGAGGGGCAGACTGCTGACCTCATGAATCCTCGCTGCCAACACCGCTGACTTCTTGATCCCCTCCCCCAAAACAAAGAGCATCTTGCAGGCATACTGGAAATCCCCATGCCTGGCAAAGAGGATGAAGCAGCAGCAGCAGCTCACTCACCTTTAAATGTGTCACAGTTGGAAGAATTATAAATATCAGCAAGGCAAAGATAGAAATTAAACTTTAACTGCTTCTAAGAAAGCATGTGTGCTAACGAGAAGCAGGACAGCATCCTTTTCATGAGGCTAAGAGTCACGCACCCTTACTCGGCACCCTGAGTAACATGCAGGGACTCACACTGATGCAGCACCGGGTGCAGGTGCCACCGGCAGCACGGAAGATCCCTGTACAGCCCCTGCCCCCACAACACAGTCGAGACCACCACATCCCTTCAAATGATGCATCATGTGCCACCAATGGCATCGCTGAGATTGTCTGACCACCACAGAGTGCACAGTGGGGGCTGAGGCCTGAATTCCACCTCTGTCCCTCACTGACAGTGGAACTGCAGACAAGTTACCAAGTGACTGAGCCACCAGGCTCCTAACCTAATGAGGGGAGGAAATAATCCCCAATTCCCAGAGGTCACTGAGAATTAAGGAACCAGCTCAAAGACATGGTCACAAGGTTAAAATAAAAAAAGCAATTGATCTCTCTTTACCCCAAGCAATTGATCTCTCTTTACCCCAACCTTTACTCCCCAGATGCCTACTTACATATTGACATCGATGTGATAAACTCTTTGAAAGAAGTTTCACAACCACACAGAGGTGAAAAGACAAATGCCAGCTTATCAAGAAGAAAGGAAGCACATGGAATAGAGGGCAAAGATCTTAACACATGCTCCTGACACTCCCCTGTTAACCTAGAGGCCCAGATATGTGACCATGAGGCCGAGCGTCAGCACATGTGGTTAAGAAAATAACTGTGCTAGACCAGACTCCCTAGAACAAATACAACAAGCAAGCAAAACCTGAGCATGGAACAAAAGAGGCAACTCTCTTGTTCTTTTCACTCCTTAGCTCATGCTTCCAAACCACTAAATTCACAGCAGTACATTTCAAAACTGTAAATAGAATAAGTAATAATAGTCAATAGGGCTTGTGCTATGCCAGGCACTGTTCTGAGACATTTACATATATTCTCTTATTTCATTCTCAACTAAGCACAGGTAAACTGAGGCAGAATGGTTATGACTTATCCCAAGGCTAAACACACAGTAAAGGGGGAAGCCAAGGCTAACAGCAGTCTGCTTCCTGATCTCCCCCACCATACACTAAGGCTGTTTCTCCCTGCTCTCATGCTGGCTCCCCTCCCTCTTGACTTCAGATGACTCTCCACAGCAGTGAATGTGGACTAGGAATACAAGATGACAAGCAGTAAGCTGGTACACAGCAACTAAGACAAGTACTATACCAGGTTCTTATGTACAGCATTCTATTTTAACCTCCCAAAAGCCACAGGTCTACATGCATATACAAATATGTATGCACATTGTACAAGTGTGTACACTGTATAGGCATGTGTAAATACATACATGTATAGTCATGTGTGTTTGAGGACACACATGTGGACATGTGTGCGTATATAAAATACAGTGTACTTATCAAATTTAACCTTTCAGCATTTAGTAGCATCTATTATCATTATCCTTGTTAATAATTCTTTTAAAATGTCATTTAAGAAATCCTTGCTTCATTTCTATTCTGTAGATCTTCTGTAGATGCTAACAAACTTGCACAAAGTGATTTCCTTAATCTAATCTTTTTCCTTTTTTTAATATATTAGAGACTCTCACTGTGAAAGGCACTGAGGGCAGGTCCCTCTGTGAAGCAGAGCAGCGGGCAGTGAGAGGCCCTCCGTGCTGTCGGGGCTGGCTGTTCACACACAGATGACCTGCAGCAGGACACTTCCATAGCATAAATCTGAGAAAGCAATGAGCACCCAGGGGAAACGGGGCTGCCACTTGGGCTTGCTACTTACCAGCTCTGTATGAACTTTAAGATGTGCCTGTAGCTTATATTTATCTGGAGTCGAGTAGTCACAGCCGTCAGTGGGACACTTCAGCAAGATGTTACTGTGTTTCTGAATTACATGGCGTTTAAGGCAGTTTTTGGTGATGGAAGAATAATGACACTGGGAGCAATAATACAGATGTTCTCGGGTGTGGGTGCGGACATGCATGTCAAAATGCACTTGGTACCAAAAAAGTTTGCCTAAAAAAATATTTTCACATGAGAACAAGGAAGTTTCTTTTATACTGAATTTGAATTTTAAAATTATTATTATTATTAACTACTGTATCTCCCTCACGTGCTTGTCTGGGTCACCCTTCACACTTTCCACCACATCTGTCTGAAAATTACTTCTCAAAGGTGGCAAGCTGCAAACATTGAGGGTGCTACCATCTTTGGCATGATGCAGGGCGGGAGAGGGGGACCAATCATGGTGCCAAACACCACGCTGCACATGCACAAATGGAAGAGTCTCCAAATCCTCCTGAGCCTCCTGGCCGCCAGGGTTGGCGCTGGCCTCCCCACACCCTGCACCACGAGCTCCCTGGGAGGTCTGGGAGCTGTGCTTTCACAGTGAGGAGGAGGGTGCTGCTCGGGCCTCCCTGCAAAAAGCTGCAGCCACTTTCATACCCTCTCTGCTTATCTAGAACACAGCTTAAAGCTCGACTTAGCAGCTGTCACATGTCAGAAGAAAGGCTTCCTGGTCAGGGGCCGGGAGAGGCTGTGGGGGACCCTCAGCATGCACAACTGACTACAGCCACAACACACCGGCTGTGCAGTCACACTGGCTGCCTCCACACAGACTCCTACCACTGCTTGTGACACGGGGCCACCCGTTCCTATCTGCCATGGAGAAGGGTGGCTCATTTAGAAGGTGTTCTTTGCACAGAGACATAAGCTCCAGTGGAAACCTAGGTGACCACAACATGACGGGAATGGACAAGGCTGATGGGAAGCAGAGCTCTGCTCAGAGCCGAGCCAGTGCAGCCTTCCTTACCACAGTATTCACACTCCAGGTCTCCGTAAACCTTGCGGATCCTCTCACACAGGCCAGTGTTCATTTGTTTCTTCTGCAAACTGTCCAGGACCTTCATGAACGCAGTGCTGCCAGGCTGGTGCTCAGAGGCAGGTTTACAAGAGTCAGACTGGAGCACATCAGCATCTCCCTCACTGGCCACTGGAGGAAGGAGGTCCGAGGCCTCAGCTAGGTTCGGCCTGAGACATATGCTGGGATCAGGCTCACTGGCTGGGAGGGGAGTCATTTCCTGGCCCTCACCTAGAGGGCTCTTGGCACTCTGGGTCTCTGGGCTGGGCCCAGCACTTTTGGTCTTGGACAGGAGTAGAATGATTTCTTCACCCTGAGTCTGGGCTGAGCCTCCATGCTGGGTGTCCAAGGTCTTCTCGGCAGCAGCATGAGCCTCAGTAGAGGAGGTATCATTTTTCAATAAAAATTCATCAGAAACCACTGCAAGAGAATGCAGATCTGCTGAGACCACTGTGGTTTCCAGCTCACAGGGTGGCAGGGCATCACTTTCAGCCTGAGGGCTGGCCAAGGGCATTTCTGGGCCAGGCATTTCCACAGGGACTTCCAGCTCCTTCTGCTCCTCCTCACACTGAGCACCCTCGGGACCAGTCTCCTCTTTCAGCGCATCTACCCTCTGGCACACAAACTCCTCTTCCACTAGATGCAGCTGGTCCCCCAGGGCTTCTTGCTGGATGTCTCCTCCTGGCTCCAGGAGGCAGAAGCTCTGGTTGATGGAACTGGTGAAGACCAGGGCCTCCTGGGCTGCCCCGTGCACCTCTCTGATGTGGGAGCGCAGCCTGATGGAGCTGACAAACTTCTTGAGGCAAATGGCACAGACATACACAAAGGGGTGCTTCCTGACGTGCAACTCCAGGGCCTGGTACTTAGTGGCCCCGTGGCCACAGAGCTCACAAGCATAGGGCCACTTGTCGCCATGAACCAGCATGTGGCGGTCCCGGTCCAGCTCATTCTTAAACTTGCGTTCGCAGATGTGGCAGTCATAGAGCAGCTGCCGCTTGCCCTCCCTTGTCATTAGGCGGAGCTCATCCAGGGCCTCCTTGACCTTCTTGTCCTGTGGGTCATGTGTGTCCCGGATGTGCTTGATGAGGTTCTTGACATCAGAGTACTTCTTCTTGCAAAACCGGCAGTGCTGCTTGATCTTCTTGTGCACCCGCTCAATGTGCACCTTGAGGTGGCCTTTGCTGAGGCAGGTGAAAGAGCAGTAGTCACAGGCGAACTTCTCACCAGTGTGCTTGCGTAGGTGCACATTGAGGTTAGCCTTGATGGCACTGGCGTAGCTGCACTGGGAACACTTGTATGGCTTCTCATTGGTGTGGATCCGCAGGTGAGCCTGCAGTGAGTGCTTGAACTTGAAGACCTTGTTGCAGTATTCACAAGTGAAGATTTTCAGTTGGGTAGGACCTAGCCTAGAGACAGATGACAGCACAGTTACTTTTGGAGATCCTGAACCCTCCCAATGACCCAAACACCAAAGGCTTAGCAGAGGGTTAAACGAGGCAGAGGCTGGATGAAGTGTTCATTCAACAATAGGCTTGGAAGAACAGGATGAGCCAGGCACAGATAAAAGAGAAATAGGGAGTCCTGGTCCTTCAGAACCTCACAATCCAGGGGAAGAAAAGACAAGGCAGCCAGTGTTGCACAACAGCATGGTAAGTGTGAAAGGAATGTGTACAGGATTAAAACCAAGACTTCTTTTTTTTTTTTTTTTTTGGTACCAGGGATTGAACTCTGATCCTTGCGCTTGTGCAGCAGGTGGCAAAACCACTGAGCTAAATCCCCGGCCCCCGAGACTTCTAAGATGAAGGTGACTGGGAAAATTTTGAGGAAGCCTCTCCAAGTTGAAACTTGAAGAGTAAGAAAGAACACATAAGAGAAGCAGAAGGAAGGGGGATTTGTCATACACACAAACTCACACCACACACACACACACACACACACACACACACACAATAACCAGGCATGCTCCCAATGGATCTGCTTGCATTCTGGGATATTTTTAAATATCAGTCTTAACAGAATAAATTTAATCTCCATGAGACTAAATCAACCAGACTGTTCAACAGCTTTGACAGTCCTGACTTGCCTATTCATTCCTCCAACATCTGTTCCATTTTGCAAGTTTCTACATGAGGACCACCCATTAGCGAACAATCCATGGCCTTTGTCCACATCCTTACTTCTTCCCAGGAAAAAAGAACTATGTCACACACCCAACTGGTGAGTTTGGGACAGAACCCAGAATTCGCTAGCCGAGCTCTGCCTCTCCCCTTCCAGTGAGGATGCACCTGCCTGTCCAGGTTAAGCATGGGACAGAGCAGGCACTCAGCCACAGGCATCCGTGCGCCTGGCCAGGGCTGCAGTGTGACCAGTTCAGGACACTCCCTCCTGAGGTGCCTCGTGCTCTCCCACAGCTCTGTCCGCAGTAGAGATGCTGAGGAACTTTTCCATCTTTCTCCTACTCCTTCATAGCTGATTTAGAGCTCAGATGGGGAAAAAGCATTCCCATTCATTAGCCACATACACCACTTAAATAAATATTTGCAATTGATTAACATCTGGCATTGTGTTGTAGACACTGTGACAAATTTTTGCATGTGGTGAAGAATAAAAACGTGGTCTGCCTCATGCAGCGTGTCTTTTTCAGTGTGGTAATATGTATACTAAATGAGAAAGTGGTAGTAATAATAACAATGATGGCTAAGAGTTATCATTTATGACAAACTATGCCAATTATTTAATCTTAACCTACTATCATAGCCATTTTACAGAAGAGAAAAATGAGCAACTGCCCATCATCCTACAATTGGTAAGTGATTTGAACCCAGGCAGGCTACCTTGGTTTCCATTCATTCATCTCTGTCCTCTGCATTGCCTGAAATCACTAATCCACAGCAACCCATCCCCACCTAACCTTGCATGTGGAGAAGGCATCCCATATGGGGCTTCCATTGTTGTTGAAATGGCAGAGTCTTTTTTCTGAAAATAGCAAATAACAACCACTAAAGTACTTCAGTGTGTACCAGGGACAGAAACTGGTAGAGATCAAAGAACTCAGTGAGCTCCTCTCTGGCTGTAACTGCTCCCTCAGGATGATGTGCCCAGGTTATCCAAGGACCTGTGCCAGTCTAATAACCATGTAGTACTACTGTTAATTAGACTACTAAGGTGTGCCTGCTGCAACTATAAAGTCTGAATCTATGAAATCACCCATACAACTATGTCTGATCAACACAAGTTACCCTGTCTTTAAATGAAAAATATTTAAATAGATCACACTTCAAAAATAACAGAGGGTACAACTCACATGATGTAATTAAAATGTGCAAATTGGAAAGTTACTACTATGCCTGCATGCTAAGCCCAAGGCTTATTCAAGAAAAGTAATTTGGATCTTTCCCAAATGACAAAGATAACCAGGAGATGGTACCTTTTATTGGTATAAAGACCAGTGAAGAAGCCCTGAATTCACAGTGTTAATTAAATAAACAAAACACAGTATTTCCTCCTGTAATTCAAGATCTAAATGGTATTAGGAGAATCTTTTGCTCAGAGTTTTTAAATTATTAGTAATGCCCCAAGTGCCCTGTTTCTGGTCCAGGATCCAGACGGTCAGCTCACAGTTGGCTCTAAGCAGAAGCCACCACGATTCTGAACCATGGCATAGAGCAACAAAATCTAAGGCTCCCTATTCAGTGAGAGGTATGCTCCTCACTGCACTTAAGAAATCAGAAAGAACTTTAAAAGGCCAGACACCAGCTATTCTACATCTGGGACTCTACCTGAAAGAAAGAATACAAAACTAAATGAAGGTGTTCATCACCCATTTTTCACAACAGTTAAGAATGGGAAGCTGCTTGAAGGTTCTGACATAGGGCTACTTTGTACATTTATTTTTTTCACTCATTCCTTCATTCATTCCAAGAAGGATTCTAGGCACTCAGGATACAAAAGGGAACAAAAGCAAACCCAACTCTTCCCAGCTGGAATTCACCCTGCTAACTGTAAAAAGCAGCAGATAAGGCCCATTAGCTTCCTGTGGGAAGGGAAAGATAAGATACTCCAGGAGCCCAGTTGAGGACAGACTGACCTGGGACTGGGACAGGAACAGGGAAGACCTCCCTGAGGAAGGACGTTTGAGCAGAAATCTGGAAAGGCGAACAGGAACTAACTAAGCAAGCAGGAGGAGGTACATCCCAGAGTGGGAGGAAGAGGCATCTTGCAAGGTGGCATCAAGGAAGTGAAAGAAGGCCCAGCTGGCTGGGGCACAGAGGACCAGCAGGAGTGTGGCGGGGAACAGGCTCCTAGGCAGGAGAGTCCAGTCGCAAAGACCCCTGTTCTTCTAAGAGCAAGGGGAAGCCTTCACGCACTAGCAACAAGCTTCCACGTCCAAGGTTGGCTCCGTGAAGTTTAGCATAGGAAGCAAAGACTTGTGAGTAAGTAACAAAGGAAGTATAATGTGACTAAGTTTTAAAAGCAAGACACAAAATCACATAAAAAATATAAGCCCAGTGTTATAAGATGAAAGTATTGGGGGAAGAAAGCCAGAAGAAAATACATTAGAACTATTAACAGTCTTTGGGTAATGAGATTACAAATTAGTTTTTCCTCAGCTTTCTGGATGTCCCAAATTTTCTGTGTAAGTCTGCATCATATTTGTTGTGGGAGGAAAAAGATGATATATCCTAAAAGTCTTTATCTATATTGTACAAAACAAAATTATCATGTAAAAATTTTTTAAAGTTTTCTTTACTATTTTATAATTTACATAGTAAATATTAGCAGAATGCATGATAACAGGAATACAGAGTCTGGATCTGTTAATTAAATTTTGAGTATATTTACCTATAACTAGCTTAGCATTTAGCTGAATCCCTCCCCAACAGACCTTGAAATATGATGAAGATAATTAGTTAAGGTCTGCAAATCATCCTGAGTTGAGACAGAGAATGATCATGAAATTTAATTCTCTTACAGATCCAAAAAGGAATGAATGTTTTTACAACTTCATCAATAAATTCAGTTCTTTACAAGAATAGAAGGCCGAGGCTACAAATTAATGAAGCAAACCACATGATACAATAATATAATTTAATGAGTGCAACGTGAGCCAGTCACTGCATATAGCTTACCGTTCATTCTCACCACTAAACTAAGCTTCTATTACACAATTTCACAGTAATGCAATAGATGATCAGGGGACAACAACATGTCTCAAGGTAAAAGAGTGCGCAATTCCTATATGTTCACCAACAGATGAACGAATAAAGAACGTATGGTATTCATACACAATGGAGTACTACTCTGCCATCAAGGAGGATAACGTTGACTTTTTTGCAGGAAAAGGAATGCACCTTGAGACTATAATGTTAAGTGAAATAAATCACCACACAAGTCTAAATATCACACAGTTTCTTTTACATGAGCAACTCAAAGTGTAAATAAAGACCAAGATAAAAGACAGATGATAGGAAGTAGGGAGAGAGAGCTTTTACAAATAGAAAGGGGCCGGGATCTGGGGGAGAGGAGGAGCATGCCAGGACAGGGGTGAAGAACTAAGACGCGTTATGCACGTGCACCAACTCCCATCTTGAATGCAACCAATATGTACTACAAGCACGCACTAGTAAAAAATAAAAATGGAAACAAAATAGCATCAGCTTCACTGGGGCAGGGGCTGGGTCGGATTCTTTGTCACCCAGAACATAACAGGCACTCAACTAGTCGAGGTGCACTGGGGTAGAAGTGCTCAGAGTCAGCCCCAGCTGGTTTGGTGCTATAGCTTATGCTCTGCTCAAGAACGCCTCACCTCCCCTCTCCTAGAAACACAGGGAAAGCATCAGCAACTGGCACGTCTTTGTCTTTCCAGAGCCCCAGTGATTGGTAAACTAACAGCTTCAGCAGGGCCATATCATACAAGACATCCTAGGTGGGGAGCGTGTGGAAAAACACCCCTTCTCCGAGGGCCTGGCTGATCCGTGTATTGATAGGACTGCTTTTAAGGTAAATTAAAGTTTGAAACATTCATATTCAAAAAAGTGAATCATGGCACTGTCCATGGTAACAAAAACTAGCTATGTAAATGACAAAAAGCCCACATAATAGCAAACACAATTTTTAAACATATATTAAAATGAAAGAGTTTCAAGATGCAATACATTTTAAAAAGTTAGTATATTTGGTATTTCATGTTTTAAGAAGTAATAAGGTTAAAGAAAAATATGACAGTACACCATGAAAACACTATGGGAGCTACATGGTTTCAATCTAGAATGTCCCCCTAAAGTCTACGGGTGGGGCTTTTGGAAGGTGACCATTCACAGGGGACACTGTACTCATCACAGAATTGACCCATTGATGAGTTCTCATAGCTAAATGTGTTGTTAGGAGGTGGGGCCTGGTTAGAAAAGGTATGTCAGTGGGAGGGAGTATATCTCCTTCCCTACCTCACCTCTTCTCTGTCTGCTTCCTAGCTGCCATAGGTGAGCAACTATCCTCCACTAACCTCTTAGAGCCAGCTGACCATAGACTGAATCCCCTGAACGAAGAGCCAAATTAAATCTCTTCTCCTTGTAGTTGTATCAGTTACTGTGTCTCAAAAATGAGAAAACTAATACAGTAGTGTGAGTGGACCCAGTCTGAGAGAGAAGTCATGTGGGCTGCAACCAGCAAGCCCATGGGGGTGTAGCTGCCCAAGCCTTTTGGAGTTCACATCTGGCCATAACCTGCTCTGGGTGGTGGACATGGAGCTACAGGATTTAATGTTCTTCCTGCTGCATTTTGGTCTTGCTTTGTGGTACAATTCCTTTCTATCCACATTTTAACCTGTGCCATTGTATGTTGGAAGTACTTAACTTTCTTTTTTATTTTTATAGAGGCTCAGCTAAGAGTTTCCCTCTTGAATATCAGAGGAGACTGTGGACTTTTCGGCAATGTTGGAAGTGTTAAGACTTGGACAATTCTTAGAGATGGACTAAATACATTTTCATAATGAGATGAACATGAGGCTTTTGGAGGCTGGAGTGGAATGTTATGTTCTGGATCTAGATTCCTCCAAAATCTCTCTGTTCAGAGGTTTGGGAGGTGACTGGACCGATGCAGCACAACTCACCTGCTTGACTTCATCGGCTGCTCATACGGGGTCTGTTGGATGGCATACTCCTGGTACCCTCTCCGCGGCACCAGGTCAGCTTCAGTGGGCTCAAGACTTGCTGCTCCTGTTTCCGGGGGCCCAGCCTCCACTGGAATAATCTTGGTAGCACCTGAGGTTGACGCACAATGCACTGCTTACTGCACGGCACCGGGGCACTGACCCCAGCCTGTCAGAGCCAGTGGTACCTGGGGGGCATCACCTTATCATGGGATTCCCAAGCAGCACACCAGTTTTCCTTCACTGACATATTTAACACATGAGAATGAGTGTGAGTGTGTGAATGTGTGTGTGTGTGTGTGTGTGTGTCTCTGAGGTGCAAGGGTTACGTTTTCTAAACAAGGTTTAAATGACCCCTTCAGGTACACTCTCACTTGATGTATTTATTAAATACACATCCACACATGCATGATATATATAAAACTTTCGGGTCTTTACACAGACCTATGTGTTAAGCTCTAAGTAAATGTAAAGCAGGTTCAAGACAGCATATAATGGTAGAACAGATGATAAGTAGGAATTTAAGCTATACATGAGGTCTGGTTCCAAATATGATATTACCTTACCATCTCTGGGTCTGTTTCCAGTCAATGAATTACTTCATGATACAGTGTAAAAAAATCTCAAGAGTCACCTCTGCTTCTGCATCTCTGCAGTGTGAAATGATCAAAGCCCTCCTACAGCAGTGGACAGTTGTATGTGCGTACACATGCCTGGGGGTGTGCAGGTGTATGTGCACAGACACATATAAAGTGCTTTAAAGAGAAGTTCCCAATCTAGCCCTTGTTTCTGAAATAATAAAAGGAATTAATTGCTCTTTCACCCTTGCTTACACAAATCTCAAAATACTATCATTAATTTTTTAGGAAAACTGGAAACTTTCTCTAGTGACCACTGGGAATCAGAAATTCTGCTCTGGGACTTGTCACTTTCAAGAATAACATAGTTCTGAAAGAGAATAGGGCAGATGAAGTGGTTGCAGAAAGTTGATGTCTCCTAATTTTATATGTCTGTTCTCTATTAATCGCTTTACTCTGTAGTGAAGTATAGAAGAAAAAATCTAGTCACTGCTTTCACTTTAAATAGTGAGCTACTATTAGCTTTGAAAATGGGTGTTTTTTAAAAGGCAATAACTGTTCTTAAAATCCTAAACTTGATCTTTTATTTGATAGCTACCACTCCAAATGGATAAGGAAAAGAAAGCAGAAAATGTTATATTTTGAAGTCTACTGTCATATATTACTTTTTGTCTTAAGTGTCTCATCCTGGAAGAGATTATTTTTAAAATGATAGTATTAAGTATCTGCTGGCTATTTCATATGAAAGTAAACAGAGACAAAAAAAAGTCTAGTATTACAAAGTTTTTGATGAACCCCACTAAAAATACAAAGAAGTTAGGCAGAGTCCACCTGCTCCTGCCTGGGCGGATGGGTCATCTCCCCCAGAGGAGGTGAGCGCTGGGCAGGAAGGGACACTTCCCACAGAGGACTAAGGTCCCCACTCGTGACAATGGCTGGCCAAGGCCACAGTGGTCGCAGAACTCTGGCCACCTCCCCTCAACACATGACCCATGAACAGCCCTAGGCAGTAAGTAGGTCTGTCACTGTCCCAAACTCATCAAGAATGGGCCAGCTGAGACCACAGGTTCAGGACAGTGCTCCAAATCAGAATCCTCCCCCGCAACAGTGGCCCTGGGGACAGCTGTGCCAATGCCTCTGTGTCCTTTCCAGCCTGTTGTGATTACCTGGAATGGCTTCGTGAGCAGTTAAAACCACGCTGATGATGGGTTTCTTTACTCCAGAGAGCTGCCGCGCCTCCTTTCCTGAGGAGACCTTCTGGACTTTCTCTGTTTTCTGGGACCGAGGTCTTTTGGGAGCCTTTTCTCGATCATCTTCCTTATACTTCTTTTCTCCTTCAAGGTCTGACTCATTACCTAGGGAGCAAACACCAATATGTAAAAACTATCCTTCCAGGTCAGTGACAGAGTCAGAGAGCAAACTTAGGTCTTACTGGGGGTAACAGTAAAGGAGATGGATCTTGGCCCACAGCGCCACACAGGGCCCCTGTATCGCCGTGGGCACAACGTCTGGCTCTTCACTCACACAATGCAATGTATATTCACAGCTCCCACCCAGGCCCACACCGGGTGCCAGGGATGCACTGCTGAATAAAACATAGTCCCTAGTCCTATTTTCATGAAGCCCAGAAGATGTCATAATCATGAATAAACAATACTGCAGAGAAGATTTAAGGGCCCCAAAACTCACAGCCCAAGAAAGAAACTATTCACTTACTCCACTTACACTTATGGGATGCCTTCCCTGTGCCAGGCTTGGCAGACATAGAGTGGTAAGGGCAGGCCCTGGCCTCTAGCGCCCTGCTGCCCAGTGGGAGGGACAGGCATGCAGACAAACAGGTACAATCAAGGGCTGTTTGCTCCACACTGTGTGATGCAGGAAGGTACGGAAGGCAAGGTCAAGGTCTACCTGTAAGGTCAGAGGGGCTTTACGGACAGGCAACCCTAGTTAAATGAGGTTAAGCTGGATCCTACAAGGCCTCCATGCCCATGAAAAGCCTGGAATCCTCCTTTGCCAGGGGGTGAACCTCCAATGCTCAGGGAGCCCAGCTATCCCAGTAGCACAAGGAAGCAGAGCTGTGGGTGGCTTCAAGGACAGCACAGGCCTGGCTCCTGCCGGGGACCCTCAGCCACATGGTGAGATGGTCACATCTGATGGTTCAAAGGAAGACTAAAAGACCATGTTTTTGCCTGAAATCTTATTTTTCAATGCTGACTCTAATCTAGAATTTCATAAAACAATGAAAGAGCCAAGAAAAAACACATGTCAAAGGCCCTATGGGACCTACAGATTCCCATTTGAGCCTCTGGAAGGCCACCCACTGAAGCCATCTCAGCCAGGGAACAGCCGCACTGAACTCATGCTTTAAATCTGTGCCACCACTGTGGCGAATGAACCGGCTGGGCTCAGAAAACAGTGACACACATGACAACAGGAACATGGACATCAGCCATGGACAGGACACAGTGACCTTCACACAGGAAACGTGGCATCAGCCTGAGGGGAAATGAGGAAAGCTTCCACATAGCAGTGAGCATCAAGGAGCACTCTCTTGAATGCACACTCTTCGGAAGTCCTAAGTGAGAAGGAAGAGAAGGAAGTGTTCTCTTAGAACCACAGTCACCAAATCTAATACAACCCGCCTAAGAATCCTTGTTCAGAACATAGGACAAGAGCACAGGGAGTAATTCCATACAACCCTGGGTGAGTGTGGGATGGATCCGTGGGTGCAGGACAAGTGGGCAGGCAGCCGGCCTGAGGAGAGGGTTTGGAAAGGACGGAAGGTGTGGTTATCAAGGAGGGGAATTTGGAACCAGTGCAATGCACAACTCTGCTAGAAGGAAATCTAGGAAGGATGACTTCTCAAGAAGGCGTGCCGGGTAAGGGAAAGCTCTCTCAATATGAGGCAAGGAAAGCACTGGGCTAACGAGGCAGAGTGAGCAAAACAAGCACTCTTATACTTGTGTCCTAGAAATGAAAGTTACTGATGCTTGTCCTAAAATCTAGGTGCTGGGGGCCGGGGATTTAGCTCAGTGGTTCTGCCGCCTGCCTCGCAAGCGCAAGGACCTGAGTTCGATCCCCGGTACCAAAAAAAAAATCATCTAGGTGCTGGAATCATCCCAGTAGAAACAGTAGACCCAGTAGAAACAGTCTTAGTGAAATTTTTAATAGACTGCTAACATCAAACTTCAGAGAGAAATGAGCAGATGAGATCAAGAACCAGGCAGAACTGCACACCACCCCCCAAGGCCTGAAGCCGAAGAGCAGCACTTACGTCCATCCTTGAAGAACGGGGGACTCCTGTGAGGCCACACCTTGGAGCCAGTGGTCTCTAAAGCTCTGCCAGTGCCTACACTGTGAGAGCCTTGATATGCATCAGTCTTTACAGCAGTTTTTGCTTTGTTGTATTTTATTTTTTAGAGGCCTTAACAAAAACATTTCCAAAGGTCTACAATTTGCCTAAGTCATAGAAGTGGTTTTGTAGCCTACATATTGGGTGATGCATGTGTATAAGTAACTATAACAGAATATACTGGATGCTATTAAAAGGTAGAAATAACATCTTATGGAATTTTTTGCTTTTAAAATGGTGCTTCACTTTATAACAGAGATACATAAGAGATACAGAAAACATGAGATACAATTCGATATGTGGGTGGTAGGCCCGGAGTAGGTATGTCCACATAAAAAAGGACCTGAGAATGAGAGCTTAGGATAAGCTTAACCTGGTTAACAGCATGAGTCAACAGAAAACAAACAAGCACACACTCTTAGCCAAGGTTAACAGAAGAGGCCGAAGAGACCCCACGCTCTGCGAGGGATGAGCAGCACCTAGACTCTGCTTTAGGCACCCTGTGTTACTGACACACTGCAGGACTGGGAGCATGAGAATGGTGGGCGGGAGCAGGCGAAGGTCTGGAAGCCATGTCAGATTGAAAAGAGTGAAGAGAGCAGCGGTGGTTTGGGAGTAGAAGAGGAGCCCGGATAAGAACTGCATCCCTCACCCTCACCCTCAACCTCACCCTCACCCTCACCCTCACCTCTGTAGCAGACCCTTGAGGTTTCTTCCTCTGGTCGTTCTAGGGTACACTTTGGTGGAGTCCACCCTACTCATTCCCAACTCCTGCCTCCTCGATGAGGAGCCTGGCAAGCAGGATGTCAGGGGCCTCTAGGAGCAATCTCCTTCTCTAACAGAAAAGTACTGCTGTGTCCACTGCCCAGAACTAAGACAGATCTCCAAGATAAGAGGTCACGTGAAAGCCCACAGCAGTGCCTTGAGGGTCCCCAGGGAAAGATGAACCCTGTGATTTAATGGCACGGCTGTGCCACTGAACTGACCTGGACCCCTGAGGCCCGCACACCTTTTTATGTGAAGAACAGACTCTCACTGCTAAACCTGCCTGTAATGGGTGTGCCTCTACTAGAAGAACCTGGACTGACACACACTCCCAACTACGCTCCACATCAACCCTAGCGTGAATCACTTGAAAATGCAAATCTATTCCTAACACTGTCATGCTTAAACCCTTTCAATGGCTGCCCTCTGCCTCCATGAGGAGGTGTTACGTAAAGTCCTCCAAGATTTGCCATAAACCATCTGTCCCACTACCCCACACAGTGAAGGCCATGACTTCCAAGCACACACTCTCATGTGCTTATCCCAACCCCGTGGGGTCCAACAATACGAGCCACAAGTACACAGAGTCTCTTATGCTGTTGGCAACCCTATGCCTGTGTACACATTGTGATCCACTACTAGGGTTTGGGGACAGTTACTCCCCCACAGACTCATGTGCCGAAGTCTTGGTTCCCAATGTGACAATGTTGACAGGTGGCATGGAAAACAGAAGGCGATGGAGAGACGTGAAAGAAAAAAGAAAGGCTAGACAAGACAGAGAGTGGACAATAAAACCACACACCCGTTCATCCCATGGAACAGCCTCCAGCTGACAGCTTGTGCTTTGTGCAGGTTCTAAATCCCTGCTGTGAGGCCATGGGGCTCTCAGTGCAGTCCCATGGCCCACATCTGACTTGACGCACAATGGGGCCAGTACCCAGCAGTTGGGGCCAGTGCAGTAGGTAGGTGACGCTGGACTCCCTGTGGCAGTGAAAGAGTTCAACCCCTGTGGCCTTCAGCAGGGCCCCAGAGACAAGCACTTGGCTCTCCTCTTGCCCTGTTCCACTCCCTGATTCCCCAACTCCAGCTTTCTGGGAACACGCTCAGATCTACTGACTGTAGCCATGGCTGCTTCTAAAGGAACACAAGCTAAGGCAGCCCCCATTTGGCCCCAAATGCCTACCTCCACATAACCAGACTTTCAGGAGCCTCAGCACTAGGTTTTCCCATGGGCACTGCAAGTCAGGGACTGCACTGAGCAGCCATGAAAATGATTCTGGGAGATGACCTTAGCAGATCCCCAAAATGGGGCATGCCTGAAAGAATAAGGCTGAGAGGGAAGAGTGAACACACTCCAAGGCAAGTGCCCAGTGCATTTAGGGATTATTGGATCATTTGGGTTGAGACACCAAGGGGAAGTGGGAGGGGTGGGGGCAAGAAAAGAAGAGAATGGAATTAATATGAGAAAATGAAATAACGAAAACAAGGTCTTTGTAAATAGGGAGGGATGGAGGGCTTAAAGGGAGGGCAGGGGCAGGGGGAAAAATAAGAACCAGTAGAGATTATGTAAAGGGGCAAATTTCCAATGATGAATGTCATTATATTGTACACCTAAAATGTATCAATAAAATTAATTTTTTAAAAAAGACACCAACATGAGGAGGTGGAGATGTGGCTAAGAAGGCTGACGGGAAGGCCTGGATCCCACGGAGACCTTGGCTCCCAGGCGCAAGTGTAGTCTGCACAGAAATGCCAGATTCCGTATTGTATGCCTGGCGCACCTGGCTCCAGCCCAGCTGCATGGCTATTTTCGTCCCTAGTGCTGGTTAGTCCATACATAGCAGGTGTTCAGTAGTTTGTAGAAAGCAGGGATGGTGGAGGCTGAAAAAGGACAGTTTCCCAACTGTCTTGTTGGTAGTTTTGTGCTCTCTCCCTTTTGGACACCAAAGTCCTTGTTCCCAATTGACCCGGTTGTTCCTCCTCACACGACTCCTCTTTGCACTTATCAAGGCTGCCCTTTACCCAGTGCATCGCCTCCAGGACCCCGGCCAGAAGTCATGTTGGTGGGCATTTTCTCACTGTGTGCATTTTTCATCTCCAGCTCACATGCATCATGGCCTTTCAATACGGTGCTTTTAAATAAGTCTCCTTCTTCCTCTGAGCTACTGACTTCTTAAACTTTTCCACCGTTTTCCCCAGCTAATGCTTACATTCCCTCCAGCTTCCTTTTCTTTTGAA